AAAAAAAAAAAAAACTAACCTCGCTTTCTTGAAATAAACTCAACTTTAGTTGCATTAATTGATTTTTAGGATTAAAGCAACCTCACATTCCAGGGATACATCCAACTTGTTCACCATGTATCAGCTTTTTTGTACACTATTAGATTCGATTTGCTAGTATTTTATTTGATATTAGAATTTTTATTTATGTTCATGATGAGATCTAATTTTCTGTTCTTTTGTAAGCACCCTTTCTCAGGGTTACAAAAAGAAGTATATTATAACTAAAATAATAAAAGAATAGTTAACTACAAAAATAATGAGCATGCTAAGAATACCCCTTTTTTGGAGAAATACAATTGAGAATTATCATTATTAAATCATCAGGTTGAAGATAACTGAAATGCACGTGTGTTTCCTGTAAGGAGTAACACAGTAATTCAGGAAAAACAACATAGATGAATTTATCAAATTTACTAAGAGATCATGCTGTCTGGGAATGGAGAATAAGACAGGTTTTGATGAAGAGTTGAAGCTGGGAAGGGTCTAGAAAGGAGGAGACTTATCTAAAAAGGGCATGCCTAAATGGAATTTAGTAGAAAACTGTACCAGGCTGATGGGGACCTACATGAAGTCATGATCTCATCTCTCATCAGGAGAAACTGAAAGTACACGCTCTAATACTTAATTTTAGCTTAGAATGAGGCATAAATTTTGTGTTTCCACTAATTATCTTTTTACCTCTCAGTTCAAATCAACATCAAATAAGAACGTATCTGTGGTAGGATGGATGGTGATGATGGCTGATGACCCGGAACATCCAGATCTCTTCCTGCTGACTGACTCTGAGAAAGGTGAGTTGTTAGAATAACTAGGGTTTAAGATACTGCGTATAGGTAACTTTCATTCTGCCAGAACTAGTTTAACCGGAATACTCAACAAGGGAAGTGTTAGTGTAGTTGTATCTATTGAGGAACATCTTCATCACATAATGCATTTTAATGATATCAATATTTTTAGAGCTTATTTTCTTTGCTACATGGTCACAAGCTTGAAAGTTCAAAGCCCAATTAATCCCTAGAGAGCTAACTAGGAAGAGAGGGAGGAAAGAAGGGAACATAAGAGTATATTAGCCCACTGTTGTTCTGAATTCCCAGGGACTTGCCAGATGGGCAGTACCCCTTCATTTATACCTTGAAATAGATTGTTATTCTTAAGTTCTGAAAATGGCAAGGTTTTCCTTAAGTGATATTTATTTTGTTACCTTAAGTTAATTGGTTATTTGGCTCAAATCATTCTCCAAACTAATCATAATACTTTACATAGAACATGTAGAGACATATGACTAAACTAATTGGCTGTTGACCACTGGAGTCCGTAAAGTGGTTGAGCGTAGTTGGAGGGGGCTGTGTGGAATCCCCTCGCACCTCCCTACCCTGCCTGTGCTGTAGGGGACACCTCAGGGGCCTTCCGAGAAGATCCTGAAGTGGTCGCTGCTCTTCCTGCGTAACAACTGCCAGCTGTTGACAAGCACCACAGAGTAGGCCAGAAAGGAGACTCTTTCATATCTGCTCAGAATCTTCCCCGCCAGCAACTCACAGCTGAAACAGATCATATTACCTTTTATTGATTTTACAACTATATTTTGACCTTTGTTTATTCAGATGCTATTTTGTATCAGCAGAGAGGCCACATTTAGGATATTATATAGTGTTTTAAGTCAAAAAAAATAAAATAATGAGCAAATATATTGGATGCAGGAAAAAATAATAATACCAAAATGTCTTGTTTTTAGATTAAATAGATTGATTTACAGAGTAAGGACTCCCTATTCAACATTCTGAATTCAAAACCCCAGCCCCTCAAAATACCAAAGGTATTATTCGTAAAGTTACATTTTCAAATGAGATCATTTTCATTGGATTTAGTTAATCAGTTCTTTGTTTTCCTTCAGTTTTTCTTAGTGTGCTTAACAGAACTATTTCCT